CTCAGGTAGGCTGGCCTCCCAGGGGCCTGCAGAAGGACAGGTCAATCCTGAGCACCTGTAAGAATACCAAGTTGTTGAATGGGGCAAGCACAGGTTATGCTTAACTCTTTTGGTCAAATCCACACGCGTACCTCAGGTGAAACTATCTCTACGCATCCTCTTGTCTATGGAACTTTCTGGGATTGGTCCCCATGGCCTTCGCAGAAGCATGGTGTGTGCTCTATGGCCATCCCTTTCCTCAAAGGTGCTGTGATTGCTTCCCCATGAGACCTTGAACAGTCCTCAGCTGAGTGAGCCAAGGTCTGTCCAGAAGGAGCCAGGTGGCCCGCAGGCCTCTCCCAGACCCCTGTTCCAGGGCAGCCATGGGGGGTGGGGGAGGGGAGGGGGCCAGCAGGCTGAGCAGTGCAGGCCCAGCCAGCTTTCCTGTCAGACGGCACTGCCAAGGCGGAGCCAGACATCGAGAACAGGTTTAACCAATTACCCGAGCTTCCCATCTGCTGTCTGGGGTTCGTGTGAGGGTGAGTGCATGTGAGGGTGTTTGGAGTGTCTGTGAGGGCTGTGGGCGTGCGTGAGAGTGTGACTGTGTGGGTGGGTGTGGGCGTGCGGCTGTGCCTGTGTGTGCTGTACACGTGCACAGTGTGTGGCTGCTCGTCCTGGTCACGGCACTCATTTGTCCAAGGCTGTGGCTAGCAATTGATAGTCTTCCTACCACCCTTCAAGACCTTGGGGATCTGCAAGGATAACCTACTGTGCTCCCTGACCTCTCCTTCCCCACTGTCCTCACCACCTTCTCTAAAAGATGTCATTTCCTACCAAATTGTTCACACTGGCTTCCCACTTTCCCTCCAAACCATTGGGCATTAATTTCCTCCTGGCTGTGGTCTCTCCTCTGTTCTCTCTCCCAACATGCCCTTGACCCAGTAGCCTTCATTGGCACCTGTCTGGAAAAGTTTGTAGCCTGCTTGGACCCATTTCTTGGTCTGTCCTTGGAGACACCAGGCAAGTGTGTGAGGTGACAACCCTCTGCATACGGGTTTCAGTCTTGGTGAAGCCTCACCCTCATTTGAAAAGTTCACTCCCACCCTCTACAGGAGAAGTCTCACGTCGCCGCCCTTCTCCTCAAACGTCTTCCCCCTTGTTCTCAGAAGAGGACAAGCTTTCTGTCTTCAGAGATAAAGAAGATAGCCTTGGACAGAACACCTTGGCAAGAGTCAGAAAAGGTAGTTTCAAACAAGGCCATCAAGTGGGGAGGGGGGACGGGGGACATTAGTAAAGGAACAGTGAATAAATTCAGGAAATCCACAAGGGATGTTGCAATGTCCCAGGGCTAGCAACAATGAGGCCTTTAGGCCTGCAGGGGTGGGAGCAGTGGCCAGATTCAAAGAAGACAGCAAGCAGTAGTGCTCCAGATAGGAGCTGTAGCCTGTATTACACAGAAGTCCACAGAGAGCAAGAGGAAGCAGGGTGGGGGAGGTGGGGGGGTGGTAAGTCCTATTCTTCCCCCTCTTCCCACGTTCTGCTCCTCCAATCCTCCAGTCTCCTGCTTGGGGCTCCTGATGGCAGAAGTTGGACATCAAGTCTGACAAGCCTGACTAACCACCTATCAGCAGAGATCTGGGGGAGAAGAGTACAGGGGTCCCACCCTTGACTCCTCATCTTTACCCAACACTTCAGTCCATCTTCTCCACCTGCCTCTTGTTACCACCTATAACCTTTATATTCCTTCTGGAGAACCTAGGAAAAAAGGCCTAAGCCTTCTCTGAGTTAGTGTCATGCTGTGGCCGCTGCCATATCTCACAACTCATAGCTTACCTTTACATTTTTTTCTCTGCTATTCAGGAAGCTGAGATCGGAGGATGGCAGTTCAAAGCCAGCCTGGGCAGGAAAGTCCATGAGACTCTTATCTCCAATAAACCACCAGCAAACTGGAAGTGGCACTGTGGCTCAAGTGGTAGAATGCTAACCTTGAGCTGAAGAGCTGAGGGACAGCGCCTAAGCCCAGAGTTCAAGCCCCATGACCAACCAAAACACACAAAAAAAATTCTCTCTGTTGGCAGTGTGATTCCCAGTCCATGGTGAGTTGGCTTGTACCCCAACTGCACTTACCAGGTCCTCCCGAGGGCCCTGCCTTGCTCTTTATCTTCCTTGGACTCCCAGTGCCAATTCAGACCAGGGATAAGTCCTTTTATGGCACTCTCATCTCTTGTCTCTCTGAGATGGTAGGATCTCCTCATCATCCTCTTGCCCTGCATATTCATGAACTAGGGCTGCTATTGGCAGGGTTTTTTGGTTGTTTTTTTTTTTTGGGGGTCCGGTCGTGGGGCCTGAACTCTGAGCCTGGGCGCTGTCCCTCAGCTCTTCAGCTCAAGGCTAGCACTCTACCACTTGAGCCACAGCACCACTTCTGGCTTTTTTTCTTTTTGCTTATGTGGTGCTGAGGAATCGAACCCAGGGCCTCATGCATGCAAGGCAAGCGCTCTACCACTGAGCCACTTTCCCAGCCCTTGGCAGGGATTTTTGTTCTGATTGTTGAGGTGCTGGAAATCAAATCTAGGGTCTTACACATCTGAGCTGCAGCCTAGCTAAGCAGGATGGATTTCTTTGGAGGCCTCTGGACCAGACTTGTAGACTTCACATTCCACTTGCCTTCTCGCTTCAGCTGTCTGTGTCCTGACCCACCCTAAAGCCCTTGTTTTAACCTAATTACCTTTTCTCCCACATTTGGAGTACTGGGGCTTGGAACCTCAATAGATGAAGTTTGAGGACAAGATTAAGCTTTCCCTGGCTGAGCTTCTTGGCAGCTTCCTCTCTCTGCACAGGTGGCAGCAGTGAGGTTCTACAGACTTCTCTTCTTGTCTTTGTAGCCCTTAGGGCCACTCTCTCCAAGGACTACATGCAAATTTGTATAGCCAGCCCTGCTTTCTTCTAAAATCTCCACTTGGTTAGCTTATGGGAACCTTCTAAGAACTTGCAAAATAGTCATTGTTCCCATGCAGATTTGTTCTCTCTTCTTCCCAGGTTCTAGAACAGGATACTTCCTTCAACCACTCAAGCAGGATGCTGGGTCATCTGGCTCTTCTCTGCCACAATGAGTGCTTTTGCTTTATTCCATCCTCTCCCATCATGATGGTCCAGGGCCCATCTTCCCCACTATGACTGGTCCCTACCTCACCTGTGTCTACTCTCCCAAGTTGCTATCAATGAAGCCCCTCCCTCCTTAAGGCATTGATGGCTCCCACTGTCCTTGGCCTGCAGCAACTGGCCCCTTGCTCCTCCTAGGTCTTGGAGCTTGTTGCTCACCCCTGGAGTAGTCAGAGCCCTCCATACTGTCCCTTTCTCTGCCAGGCTTGCAAAGAAAGAGGAGAGTGAACATCAAGTGGCCCAGGACCGATGGCAATGCCCCCTACCACTAGATTTTTGGGGGTCTGCTCCTTCCTTTTAACTGTCTCCTTTCTGTTCCCTCTCTCTTTCTACCCCTCCATAGGCCCCAGGGAGGTGCAGTGGGACCCCAAATTCTTGCTCTTACTGAGGAGGTGTTCTTGTTAGGAAGGAGGCAGGCTTGGCCTTAGATGAATCTGCCAGCAATTGCTTCCATGTAGGGACAGAGAAGGACCACTCCTAAGTCACTGTCCTAAGAGTCATCTGGTGCTGCTGGCAAAGGCAGGCAGGTGGGGTTAGGGCTTGTGGGAAGTGGATGAAATACTCCTTTATTGGGGTCTACCAGTGGCCCAGGGGTGAGTGAGATGGGTAGAGCCCTGGCAGCCCTGGGTGACTGAGGGAGACTCCATTGTGAAAATGAGGCTGGGACCAAAGGGCCTCAGGAAAGGGTCACTCTCCTAGCCTTTGCGTGAGGAGGAGGGAGGCCTCTCTTCCAGGTCAGGCCAGTGGGGATGGTAGGCAAGAGATGCTACATTCCTGGAGTGTTAATGATCTCTGGGCTGGAAGGAGCTGAGCCCCCAAACCAGCTAAAAACAACAAACAGCTCCCAGGAGGAATTTGTGTCTGTCTAGAGAGTCAAGGATTTCCAACCGGATAGGGGCTGTGGCTTGTGCGGCTTTTAGTAAAGAAATTCCCTAGAGACCAAAAGCCCCCTGACCTCAAGGAATTTCTTAGAGAACAGACACCAGCCCCTCCCTCCCTCCCATCCTCCTTCCTTCCCTCCCTCCAAGGGAAGCTGAGCCCCAGGATAGGCTGTACCTCCCAGAGGTAACCTGGGTAAATTCTTTACCTGTTCTCTCCATCCTTCCAACAGGCCAGCAAGTGACCCTGTTCTCAGCATTTTGTAAGTAAGGCTCATTTACAGAAGTGTCTACATTGGCAAGACTGGGGCTGAACCAGGATTTGCCTGACCCCAACTATGATGTTTTTGTCTGCACCCCCCCACCCCATCAGCTTCTTCCTGTAGGACTGGAAGATACTTGGTGTGAGGGTGGGGAGGGGGGGAGTCCTAGAAAAGAGGCCATGTCTCTTTCCCTGATCACCTCTGGGGATCTTCCTGGAAGAGAAGAGCCAGGGTTATTAGAAGATAGTCACATATTGGCCAGGTACTGGTTGGTCTATGGAGGTGTTAGGAAGAACAGAGTTCCAGAGCAGAAGCCATACATGGCAGACATCAGCAAGTTCTTTGCCCTTGACTCAGTCCTTCTCTCTTGGTAACTTCTCAGAGGCACAGACAGTCTTGGAAGGCCACGCTAACTCCTTCAGCTCTAGGATGTAAACAGCCAGGATCCACTGAAATCTTGTGTAGTCTAGCGAATACTGAGTTCCCCGCTCTGCAAAGGGTTCCTTCTACAGTTTCGACTCACCCTCTTTGCCCAGCTTTCTGCCCTCACATGGTCTTTGGCCTTTCCTCTTCCCTTATTTATGGGCCTCCACTCTGTCCTGAGCTATTCTGGAACCACACCTTCCTTAGGAGCCTTCCCACAGAATTCTCTGCAACCCTCTGCTTGCTCTTTCCATACTCTAGCCACCCCACCAAAATTCACAAAGCCATGCTCTGATGCTTTAAATCCATGTTTATTGCCCACAGTTCATTAGTATTACATAAATCACAGAGAAATTTTCTGAGGTTAAAAAGACACTGTAAAGTCCGGGGTATGCTGAGACACATGTGTTGAAGCCTCACTCATACCCACCCAAGGCTGAAAGATCATCTGGGATCTTCCATTGGCTCTCTCCTCCTAAGGACCCCACCCTTCTCCCAGGCCAGAGGCTCTGAACAGAAAACAAGTGAGCTCACAATTAGGAAATGAAAAGGGAATTATTGGCAATCTTGATATCTTGGGCTTTTGGCTTTTGCACTTTCAAATTGCTTTCTAGAAATGACAGAAGAGCATCCCAGAGCCTGGGGGAATGTTTAAAGTGACCAGAAGAGAGTTGGACAAGGATATCAGGGCTGGACAATCAATTGCAGATGTGTCCTGTATTCTGGCAACCTGGCCAGCCTCACCCTGACTCTAGGTCCAGCCTTGGCCTCCTCTCCAAACACAAATCAATCCTCTCCTAGTATAGCCTCAGAAGAGTTGGGAAGGGGCTTGGCAGGAAGTTCCCCGTTATGGGGTTTTCTGAAGCCAGTTCAGGGCTTAGCAGCATGGTCCACTGGTCCTCTTTTACCATCACCCTGATGGATTCTTTACTACTGTTCCCTCACAGAAGCCAGGGACTGAATTTGAAAGCATGATAGAAATCATCCAGAGACAGAGCAGATGGGTGATGAGATGCTCAGGCCACAGGGTAAGGCTGGGCCAGGGCAGCCAGTGCAAGTATGTGTAAGGGGACCTAAAAGGGCCCTGTCTCTGCTATGCTAATAGTAGGGGTGGAGCTGGGGGAACAGTTTTGGTCCCAAGATAAAGTGCACAAAGAACAAGGCCCTATGACAAGTAGGGGCAAGGTAAGCTTTTGAAAAGAGGACCCAGACATGCCCCGCCTCCAGGCCAGGCCTCCAGCCCAGCAGTCATTGGCACATTCACATTATGGTGGGATTGGCTCAGAAATACCTGTTCCTCCAACCCTACAGTCTTTCTGCTGTTGTCCTATCTTCCATGCTGGTCTACATCTTCTCCCCTTGCTGATGAGCAGCAGGAAAACTGCACCTCAGGAGAATGTCCTGCAGAGGCACTGCTGGGCACCAAGGAATGGCTGAGAGACAAAAGGTATCATGGCTTCTGAGTGGGCATAAGGTGTCAGACCCACCACACCTCAGCTACATCTGCCCTACGACGCTGACAGGTCGCCTGTGTCCATGCTCTTGTCCTGAATTCCCATATTCACTTCCAGCCCTGATCCCTCTGCAGGTGGAGGCACATGGGGAAGGAGGCCTAGGGCTGCATGCTACGGGCTTCCATCCTTGTAGGGTCAGGTAAGGGGCATGTCAAAGCCACTGCTTCTCCTCTTGGTGGACTTTTCAGATGAGGAGTCACTCTGCTCACTCCCACCAGGCCTGGCCTCTCCCCAGGGAACTCTCTCTTCCTCACTGACAAGCAAAGGAGATAGAGATGGAGACAGAGTCAGTAGAAAGGGGCCCCTGAGCTTTCAGAGGCAAAAGGCAGCATGCGGGTATGGCGCCACACTCAGGCCCAGGCCTCCACACATCTTCCTTCTCCAAGACTAAGAAGTGACTGGCAAAGATCAAGTGCTCCCAGATGATAGGGTCACATACAGAAGGACAAGTTGCAGTTTCTGAGGCCAACGGCTGGCACCAGCCTTCTTCCAGTCCAGCATCTACTTTGAGGATATGCATGGAATGAGTAGCATCTGAGCTGAGCAGGCAAAGGTGAGCTGAAAAGTGCTGCAACTCTTGATCCGATCTTCTAGATCAACTCCTTGATCCAGTCTTCTGCTTCCAGAGGCTCAGAGATGGGACTCGAGTGCTTAGTCAGAGTCTGTGGTCTGCTGTTCCTGGGTGGATGATGCCTCTCAGGTAGGTGTTAGGGATCTGGCTGTGGCACTCAAAGGCATGAGCCTTTTCTACATAGGCAGCTTTGGTGGCTGAAGTCTCCCTGGGCAGCAGTTGATCCAGCTCCAGCCCACCGCCAGCCCCAATGCCTAGCCTTCACTTCCTGCAGTGGCCAGTGCATACCCATAAGTTCTTGCCAAATATCATCTTGCAGCTCCCTGCCTGGGGTACTATTAGGGACCTGGAATCAGTGAGCTCCACAAGGGGTAGCCTCAACCTTAGTGTTACTGGGCTTCACTCAGAGAGACTGATTTTGTAGCTGTAGTATAGGTGACGCTGGCCACATTCAGAGCCTACTCATGGAATCTTCCAGAGGCCTCCTAGTGTTTCTCTACTTCCTGGGCCAATTCCTGAGGACAACAGTCATGGCCATTCATCCAGCCATGTGTCGATCACTTCCTCTCTCTTCTTCACTGCAGCCCAAGGAGTCATCTGGCCTGGCCTCTCTCATTTCCTAAATTTATTATCCTGGCCATCAAACCAACCCAGTTCCCAGGCCTGCTCTGCTTTCTACTACCTGTCTACCTGCCACTCTGGTCAGCTGCAACCAAGGCTCAGACTTGATTCTGTTTTTAAAAAAAATACAAATTAAAAAAAAAACACACAAGAAAGCAAAGTATAAAAGGATCCTAATGCTACCCTATGGGCATTCTATAGTTTTTCAGCTTACATAGAATTGTGCTGAGTGGAGTTTTGACAACTCCACATAAGGCCCAGAAATGCACTTGATTCTTTTGTATAGGAAATATGTCAGAATTCTTCTCCCCTATGTTAAAATGTGATTAGTCTCACTATTGCTCCCTGGATGGCCCAGGGCTGGTGGGCTCAGCCTGCCCCTCCCTGTAAGTCCAGCCCATGAAATTTCTTCCCTGCCCCCAACTCTCTGGCCTGGATGATGCTGTGGCCCCAGGCTGGCCGGATACCACTCACAGTCCCTTGTTGTACACCACTGTTCGACTGCTGGTGGCCTGGGCAATCTCAGGCTCTAATTGGGAGGTTTCGATCTGAGGAGAAAGAATAGAAACAAAGAAATGGTGGTAAGGGGTAAAAGGAAAGGCTGGGATAACAGCTAGGACTACCAAGTGTCCATAGTTCTGCCCTCTGCATGCCCTGTACCTTAGCCAGGGTCCACATGTACTTAGTGGCAATGTGTTCCTTCTCTACTGCTGGCCACCCGAGGCTCACATATCCCTACCAGCTCAAGTCTAGCCTCTTCCTTCTCAGTGTACCTATGGGGGTGAATATCCTACTCTGGCCTCTGACTTTTGTCCCCACATTTCCCCATCTATTCAGGATACCTCTGGACCTACTCACCCCTCGGGGCTGCTCCATCCAGACTCCTTAAATCCAAACCCCATCTTTTTGTCCTGTTGGCCCGCAGTCTGCTGTTCTGACCCCAGGCACCAGGTTCCCTGCCTCTGTCTCCTTATCATTCTCTGCAACATGGACTTCAAGGACCTTAGTTTAGTCCTATTACTCCCTAGCCCAGAGGGTCCTTCCAACCCTGACTGGGGGAAGTACTGCTTTGAAGGCCTCCACTTGAATCTGGACACCTATTAGAATGCCCCTGACCTTGGCTGGAACCTCATAACAGTTGGCAATAGCAGCCTCACTCCCTACTCCCGCCTGGTTAACTTCTTCCACTCTCCTTAGAGGCCACTTTAATCTTATCTGCTCCACTCTACACTTAGCTCTCTCCACCTGAGCTTCACTAGCCTTCTTACTTCTAGGGAAACTCAGATGGCATCATGGGAGAACCTCCCTACTTCCACCATCAAACTCACAGCCCATCTGGGTCCACCCCTGGCTCCATGCCTCCTACCTGCGCCCCTCAGCTGCTGTCTTGTTTCTTGGGAGCTAGAGCCCTACCTGGCTCCAATTCCTCCTCCCTCGGTTTCCACATAAGATAAGAACCTCAGTCGGAGGAAATTTCCCTCCCTCCCCTCCATGACAGGCTCTACTACTGCTTGGACTCTCTCCTCCCTGGAAGCGTCATTTCTTTTAATTGTTTACCCTGGTTTTGTCCACCTCCTCACCTCCCACTGACTTTCAACTCATAGCAAATTTGGCCTCTTTTCCTACCACTCTACCAAAAAAAAAAAAAAAACACCCTAAAACAAAACAAAAAAAACCCACTTTCTTTCCTAGGTCACTGCCACCCCTCATTTCACAGTCACCAGGTACTTCTTGGGGTCCTTGGGGTTTGGTCTGGCTGGGGCTCCTGGGTGACTTCAATGTCTGAAGTGCCTCCAGCCAGAGTTCTTCTCTGAGACTTAGGCCCACAACCTACTGCCTGATGGCTACATTTTCTAAAGGTATCTTTCAAATACATACACTCTACCCTTCTAAAGTGTTTCTGGGTCCTCACTGATCTCAGAAACCAAATCCAAACTCTGGTACCACCCACCTGCTGCCCACACTTTGCCACTCTTTCACTTATACCAAAGACAAAGGACACATGTACTGTATTTGGGCTCCTTGGGCCCACTAACCCTTTCACCCTAAGTTTTTGAGCTGTCCCCTCTGCCAGAGGCATCTTCCCACCCCCACTCTTGCCCTCATTCCATTCCACCCTCTTTGGCTTGCACAGCTTCACCATAGACATCTTCCCTCATCTACCCTCCAGGCTGGTCATCTCTCTGGCCCTGATTTACCACTATACTTTTTATATTCAAGTAACATCATGATGCCTTGGGGCTGACCATTCATTCATCCTCCACTTCTCCACATCCCTGAGGCAGTAGATGTAGGAATTTCATTCACTCTTGAGTCCTTTAGCCCTAGCACAGTGCTAGTGTTTGTAAGTGCTGACTTAATGTGAGAACATAGAAGATACCAGTGACTATGAGGATAATGTCCTTATGGACACCAAAGCAGCCTAGATGTTGATCTTCAGCTCCAGGGATTGAGCTAGAGGGGATACACAAGCTCCCAGACCAAAGGGGGCTAGGAAGGGAAGTGGTCTCTCAGTGAGGAGGTACCAACCAGACAGGTACCCTGGGCAGAGTCATGAGAGCATCAGGCCTTTGTAATTTAGCTCAGTTGGACTTGGTCCAGAGACTTGCTGTATATCAAGACATAGCATCCCTAGGAAGTAGGCAAAAGGTGGTACAGACTAAGCTGGACATCAGGGAACTCAGTCAAGCCCAAACTGTGCAGGTCAGGGTCCAGACAAGAGGGATGATAGTGAAGACTAGTAGGGATTCTGGATTCTGGAGGATCCTTCCCCATGTATTCTCTAATATTCCAACCTCAGGCACTATCTATTTGAGATGGCCCAGAAGACAAGAGCTAGGCCTAGGCCCCAGTCCCTATCCCCACCCCTCTCCTGAAATCACTGTCTCCTCCCCACCCCTGGTGCCCTTCTACCCCAAGTCCTCTCTACCCTGAGTCCCCTCCAGCCCGCCAGCTCCCCTCGTCCCCATGCTGCCACTGACACAATGCACAGCGCCCACGCTTAAAAATCTAAATGCTTTTGAAAATGTTTAACCTAGTTAGACAAATTAGCAAAAATTTGTGCAAAACAATTTAGGTATTTAAAATATTCAATGTTTTTAAAAAACTGGAAAACTGTTCTTAGCTTTCAGCTGCAAAAACCAACAAAATATAACATCCCAGCAATCTTACCATGAGGTGTAACATAACCCTTCGGGAAAGCTGTTAAACAGCTACCGAGGCATCCTGGGAAATAGCACTTCATTTATTCAAATGCACATATGTCAGGCTTTTGCACCATATGTCATTCCAAGCTATTTACAGTAATAATTAAATCTTAATCAACGTTTAACCTCTGTAAAATGTTTGAAGAATCCTAATCACCCTTCAGACTGCACTAATGAAGGAGAAATATATAAACATAAAAGGAAAATGATGCATAGATATCACACTGGAAAGAACAGTAATTGCAAAATTGTATTTCTTTTAAATATAATCAGTAAATGATGTAAAGTAAGCCAAGGAGTATTTTAAGTTAAGACATCTTGGATGTCAGAGGTGTGAGCAGCTAATTTTGTTCTGCTACCCATAACAGATGTAGCATATTTTATTTTAGTGCCATTATTAGCAACTTCCCATGCCGGCTTTCACTGAAGCACTGAGGCCCACATTAAAATCAGAGAGGCTGCTCACCGCGTGGCGGAGGACCATGGCCCAGGGCCGAGGCCCACAGTGCCCACTCCCCAGAAAGTGCAGGCACTGGAGGGGCAAGGGGGGGGTGTTGAGGGAGACCTAGAGTTCCCCCTCCTGGCATGCCAGGCTCCCTGGGCCCCTACTGAACTGAGGGCAGCAGGTAGAAGAAGAGAGGCAGTCAGTATGGTGAGGTGCTCTTGAGCAGGGGCTAGGGGATGGAATTGCCATTCCAGACTCCCTTTCATTTTAATTTTAGTCTACCATCAAGTCTGGAGCAGCTCATGGCTGCCAACCCCATGTACCTGGGCTGGACATAGTTAGAGGTACAAGATCAGTTCACTGCCCTTGAGAAGCTCCACATCTAGGGGAGGAGTCAGACAATGGAAGCAGATGGATTCCAGAGAGACAAGCAAAGTGCCATGGAAACTGGGGAGGGGCTGGGGTTACAACTTACTGATGAAGGAACAAGGGAGGTGGGCCAGAAACAATATGGAGGATTGGAATGAGAAAGGATAGGCAAAACTTGCTGGTGAAGGAAGAAGCATTAGCTAGCTAATATGGGTTGTCTGGTGATGGGGTAATGTTGGGAAGTATCAAAAATGTGGCAGGAAATGGAGGTGAATCTGGGACAGGCAAAACCTTGTGGATTACATGTAGGTATGAGCCTTTCATCTGAGGGTAGGAGGGAGCATTGGAAGGACTGGGCAGGAGAGGACAATACCCAGACTAATTTTAGAAAGTGGTATGGAGGATGGACTGGGGAGTCCGTGAGGGGGTAGGGAGCCTCAGGGGAGCAGCTGTAGGAATCTGAGAAGGGCTAGGTCTTGCCTTCTGATGCTACCCATGGAGGCGAATAGTAGAGTGTGCTGAGGATCCTTTCTGAACATGACATCCATGGGAGTTGATGACCAATTCCATGTGGGGGTGAGAGAGGGAGGTGTTGAGAATGACTGTGTGTTGGATGACTCCTAATTCTAGCTCCAGAGCTGGGGTGGCTGGCAGTGCCATTCTCAGAGGCAGGAATATAGGAGGGGGACAGGTTGAGGGGTGGGTTCAGTAGCAGCCACGCTGAGTCTGGGGTGCCTCTGGGTTCTCCAGGTGGAGAGGCCTGGGAGGCAGATGGGCCCATGGTTCTCAGCTCTGGGCAGGAGGGAGGCCGGATGTGTGAGCATAGCCAGCCTCCAGAGCAGGGGAGCTTGCCCAGGAGAGCATATGGAGGGGCGGGTGCCAGGGCCTGGGGAACAGGCACATTTGAGGGGTGGTGCAGGGAACAAGCCCATGACAGAGGCCTTAGGGGACCAGCATGAGAAGCGGAAGCAGGAACAGGGATATCCAGATACCAAGCAGCCACAGATGCCAGACAAATAATTTTCAGAGACCTGATGAGGACTTTGCTCTTGGCAGCTGGGCTATGATGACCCCTAGAGTCCAGATCTCTCTGTCCCGCACTTAGTGCTGACACTAGGTATTGCCTCCTGCTTCCATCCTGGGTCAATCATCTGTGAGCATCCCTCTAATACTCTGACCATGGCCAGTGGGCTGCCATCCTCAGGTAGTATAAGGGACTTCTGAGTGTTCTGTCCTCCGCAGTGGGCTCAGCTAAGGATAGCTGGGACAGGGACTCCTGTGCTGCTTCTGATCAGACCGGCTATTTCCCCGTTTTCAGTAATAATCGTGTTCTTTTGGAAATCATCTCTGTAGGGGTGTGGCGGGGGGGGGCAGTGTCCTCCATGGGAATTATATCTGGGCTGTGCGTGACAGTGGCCTTTGTACATGTAGTGGTGAGTGTGGTGAGTATGGTTGGGTACTGGGGCTCTTCCATCCAGCTGCCTTATCCAGCTTCAGGTCCCCAGACACAAGAACTAAGGGCAGGTGC